GGGGTCACCATGCTTGTCTTCTTTCTTGGATAATAGAATAAAGGATTTTGGAGCCCATACCTTAGTGACTGAAATCCTTGAACTAGACACAGGTTTATGGATGAGAAAAGAAAAAAAAACCCTCGCTTCCATACAAGAGCCTGGAAAAATGCCTACTTACTCATTCAGTGTTCTGAAGGTAGAGAGAGCTCCTGGATTCAAACAGTACAGTAAGATACGTAGTCTAAAGATTTATGCCCGTCCTGCAAGGCCTGGGCACCAATTCACTTAGAGCAGCACTAGCCTTTGTAGATGTGTGTGTGTGTGTGTGTGTGTGTGTGTGTGTGTTTGGGGGGAAGCTATGGAGGGTGTTACGTGATACACAGCTGTGCTCAGGGATCACTCCTGGTGGTGCACAGAGATCAAACTGGGGTCAGTCACATACAAGACAAGTGCCTTAATCGGTACTATCTCTCTGGCCTCTTACAGTGCTTTTATTGGATAAACTTTGCACATATCTACATTTCCAATATGAAGTTCACAAATTTTTTTTTTGGTCACACCCAGTGATGCTCAGTGGTTACTCCGGCTCTGAACTCAGGAGTTACTCCTGGTGGTGCTGGGGGGGACTATATGGGATGCCAGGAATCGAACCCGGGTCAGCCACGTGCAAGGCAAATGCCCTACCCACTGTACGATCACTCCGGCCCCGAGTTCACAATTCTTTTGAGTACTGTAGCACTGTAATAGCACTGTCCTCCCATTGTTCATCGATTTGCTCGAGCAGGCACCAGTAATGTCTCCATTGTGAGATTTGTTGTTACTGTTTTTGGCATATTGAATATGTTATGGGTAGCTTGCCAGGCTTTGTCGTGCGGGTGGGATACTTTCGGTAGCCTGCGGAGCTCTCAGAGAGGGGCAGAAGAATTGAACCCGGGTCGGCCCTGTGCAAGGCAAATGCCCTACCCGCTGTACTATCACTTTGGCCCTGAGTTCACAATTCTTATGAGAAGAGAAGAAAAACCATATAGCCTAGAATTCAGGGTCACCTTCAGCAGGATCAACAAAGAGACCAACAAGAAAGGGAGTTCTTTTGTCTGTAGAAATATCTATACCCACAGGATCCCACTTCACTTGTTCCTATAGAGTAAAATAAAAGAGGAAATACCTATCCAAGGGCCAGAGCAAGAGTGGACTGCCTTACATGGGGCCAACCCGGGTTTGATCCCAGCATCATACAGTCACCAATATACTGCCAGGAGTAACTCATGAGTGCAGAGCCAGGAGAGATCCCTGAACATCACTGGGTGTGGCCCAAAAAGATAAAACAAACAAACAACCTCCTCTCCCCATCCAATCAACAGTCCTTGTTTTGACTGATTATCTTTTTTGGGAAACATCTGGTGGTATTCAGGGGCTACTCTTGCCTTGGTGCTTGGGGATCATTCCAAACAGTGCTCTGGAATCAAACCAAGAGCTCCCACTTGCAAAGCATGCACTCCAATTCTTTGAGCTATCTTTCCAGGTGCAAATTATCCTTTTTTCACATGGGCTTTCATGTGTGCAATGAGAAAAAAGAGAGAGAGGATGAGAAAGAAGTGAAACAATTTCTTTGTGGATATTGGGTAGGGTGGGGTACAGGGTAAAAAGGATGATGTTCTTCTATGCTGGGAAGTATAGACTGCTGACTCAAACTAAGAAGAAACAAAGAACGAACTTTCAGATCCATTTTCACTGGAAAAAATAAAGTCAGGATTTATTGCTGGCCCAATCCTAAACCATGCCTTACCCTTAACTTACTGAGAAGGGGAATGCCCAGAAGCTACACTTGGTGGGTGACAACGATATTGTTTTGTAATTAAGACCTCAGCATCTACTGACTAGTAGAAGATATAATTCTAAATTTTGTTTGTTTGTTTTTGGGCTACATCTGGTGATGCTCAGGGGTTACTCTAGGCTCTGTACTTAGGAATTAATCCTGGTGGTGCTCAGGAAATACTATATGGTGCTGGGGATCAAAGCCAGATTGGCTGCAAGGCAAGCACCCTGCCTACTGTTTTTCTCTCCAGCCCCAAATTCTGAAATTTAAATTGAGAACCACTCCTATACCTCCAGACGCTCCATTGAGACCTCTCCTGCTTTACAATAGCAAGGATTTTCCCTTCATCTGAGAATTTATTTTTATGCTTTTTGGGTCACACCCGGCGATTCACAGGGGTTATTCCTGGGCTCTGCACACAGGAATTACTCCTGGCGGTGCTCAGGGGACCATATGGGATGCTGGGAATCGAATCCGGGTTGGCTGTGTGCAAGGCAAATGCCCTACCCGCTGTGCTATTGCTACAGTCCCAAATTTATTTTTTATCTCGGGAGTCACTCTTCTGAATGTTCTCATCAACCAGGGAGTTTCTGAATTTTCTGGTTATAAGTCCCTTGTGGGTTACAGGCAAAAGATCCTCACACACCAGAAAGTAAGATTCACCGACCTTCACCCGCCCAAGCAGATGAGGGAAGCTTTGCTGGAATCACATCCCCTTAGGAAACACCACACTATACTTCCCCAAGATTGTTCATTTCGCCTTGAATCTGGCTTTGGATTCAGTGTCTGAACTGTCCTGATGGTAGTAGCCAGACATCTGTTTTCAAATCTTGCTAAAATATGAACATACGTCTTCGTAAGGTGAAGAAGTCACAGGAGAGACAGAAGCGGATCTTCTGCTTGGCATGACGATGGCAGGACTTTGGCTGACATGTAAGTCTGGAACATACCAAGTTCACCAGTGATACACTGAGGGCACAGGCTGGGGAGATTAGTAGCTGGAACTATCAGAGATGTAAAGGGATTATAAGACTGTCACAGGAGGCAGTGAGGTAAAACCAAGCATGCAAAGCTTTACACAAGGTGGTTGGTAATACACCGAATCTTCCTGGAAGCAGCAAATTGTTTTCTTCATTTTTTTTTTTTTGATGGTGTGTGTGTGGTGGGGGGGGGGGGGGGCGGCAGGGGGAGTGATGCTCAGGGGTTACTCCTGGTTCTGCACTCAGTAATTTTTCCTGGTGGTGCTATGGGGTGGTATGGGGTGCCCGGTTCGAACCTGGGTGCAAGGCAAGCACCCTACCCACTGTACTATCTCTCCAGCCTTAGTTGGCAAATTCTTTGAGAGGGAAAATGTGGTTGCTATTTCCTTAAGTATATCATATCTAAAGGTCTACTTCTAGTAAACATTCCACTGCTCCCAGTCACCACTTAAAACACACACACAAATCAAATGAAAACTCATGAAGCAAGAATCTCCATCTCTAGCAGGAAAGGGGGAAGAAACTAATTGCCCGGTAAGAGCGATAGTACAGCGGGCAGGGCGGTTGTGTGGCCAACCCGTGTTCAATCCTCGGCATCCCATACAGTCCCCTGAGCACAGCCAGGAGTAATTTCTGAGTACAGAGCCAGGAGGAACCCTTGAGTATTGCTGGGTGTGACCCAGAAAGGAAAAAAAGAAGAAACTAATTGGATCTGGCACTTTGTCATTTCTAGAGGGTCTATTTTAGCTTAGACCTTTCTCCTTCCAGAAGCCTGCCCCAAGTCTTCCTCTGTAATAGCTCCTTTAGGTCTCAAGTGCAGGGAATCTCCTCCTTTCCAGCCGTGCTTCCCGGATGCCCTGGGTTTCTCACGCTACTCAGTACCCCTGACGGTACTTCTCCCTCCACCCTAAGTTTCTTCCCGACCACAGGGTCTCCCATTCGGTTCACTGCCTCCCAGCTCATTCCACCTGGGCCTCTTTCTCCCCAAGCTTCTGGACCAACACCCAGGTCAGTCCTGCCCAGATCCCTTGTTCTCTTCTCCACGCTGCCTTCTGCACCTTCTTCTACCCGGCTCGGACCCCATCTAGGAGCCTCGATCGTGTCAGCTCCTGCTGGTCCTCAGTCCTCCTCCTTGACCTGTTTCCCGCCTTTTTAGGACCCCCGAGGTCCCTGCTGCCCCCACCATCCTGGCACCTCATGCCCTCCCCCAGCCCCGGGGCCGGCTTCGGGGCACTGCCTACCCAGCGACCCTCTCCCAGCCGTCCCCTCGACACCCCCACGGCTCCCCTCGCTCCCGGCCCAAGCCCCTCAGGCCCCGCCCCCGGCCGCCGAGGCCCCGCCCCCGCCCTGCGCCCAAGCCCCGCCCTCCACTCACCTGAGGCAGCTCCGCGCGCGCGCAGTTTGGGATGGGGGGGAGAAGGGACGGTATTGGGGGAGAAGGGGGCGGGGCGACGGGGGTCCCCCACTCTGGCCCGGGTGGCTCAGTGCGGGGGCAAGTGGGGTCACTGAGGCGGCGGCAACCCCGCCGGAGCCGGCACCCGGGCGCCCAGCGGCGGCGGTTCCATCTCCATCAGCAGCTTCACCTGCGGAGGGACCGGCCCCCCCCCAGAAACCCCCCCATTACAGCCGACCCCCCTCCCCCGAACAACTTCCGGCCCCACTACCAGGCGACAGGCGGCTCGGCCGAACACCGAGCGCCCCCGAGCCGGGGAGCCTGCCGGGGAACGAAGGGAGAAGAGCTAGGGGAGAGCAGCCGAGTGCCGAAAGCTTCCCGGCCGACAGGCGCGGTCTGCGGCGCGGGCAGTTCGCGGATGCCCCTTCATCTGCATCTCATTTGCAAACCAGGCGCACATTGGATGCCCCCCGTGCCCGGACACGGCCGGGTTTGCCCCAGCCCCCCAAGACAATATTGATTCTTTAAGCTCAGCCGATGCGTAGCAGTGGGGGAGGGTTGCCAGGGGACCAATAATGGGTATCTTCACTGGGGGCAGGAAAGTATTTTGAGGACAAGCGCCTAAGAAGCTCTGCAGATACTGAAGGACCACAGAGAATGAAGCCCCCACTTCTTGACGCCCCCCACCCCCTGCACCTGCTTTCTCTCTGTCCCCAACCCCCTTTTGTTTGTGCTAGATTATCTTCGTCCTGAGATCCAGCGGGGCCTCGCTTGCAACATGCTCACTTCCCAGCCTCAAGGGGTCCCCCAAATTATTCAGTTGTCGTCTTAAAACACTTTATTTATGTATTTAGAAAACTTCCACAATTTTTAAAGCAGAGGGGTGTGCCCCTCACAATCCCTGACAACCCAGACAGCTGTGGAAACTTTGGGACACATATCCACATAAATTCTCTAAAGGCCTCATCGGTGACAGGCATTGGAGATGGGGCGGGATGAGAAAGGCACTGAATAGTGTCGGTCTCCAGAAGTGCTTATAACAACAGCCCTCCTTGGCTCAGGGTAGAGGGTCAGGGGCCAGGTTGGTGTAGAGGTGTCAGAGCCTGGGTAGAAAGATGCGGGGCTGAGATCCAGGAAGTGGAAAGATGAAGGGAAAGTCTTTTCTGCTGTTGTAATAAGGCCAAAGGAGGTTGAATGGGTGTGGAAAGGGGTTAGGAGGTGTTTCGGGGGAGGAAATGGTTCATTTAAAATCATGGGGCCACACGGACACGAACGCGGTGCCATGCATTGCTGAGCACACCTCGCAGGTTCCAGATTGGGGCCACGGTGTCTGGCTGCACATTGTAGCTGTCATCTACAGCCTTGCAAACAATGTTCAATTCCTTCTTTCCCGCTGGCACGGGGGCCTGCAGCTGCCACAGCCGCCAGGCCCAGGCCTTCCGGGGCCGCTGTTCTTCTTCATCCAGCGTAGCTGTCTGCCAGGTGAGGCCCCCGTCCAGAGACACATCCACCCGGACCACAGCTCTTCCGCCACCGCTCCATGCATAGCCCTTGACCGTCACCTCTCCTGACTCTATTGTTGCCCCATTTTGGGGCTCTGTGATGGCTGACTGTATGGGAAGTTCCTGAATGGATGGAGCAGAGTCAAAATTGACCGTGTCCCAGTCCACAGAGGGAGAGAAGCCTTTGTAATCCCGTCGCTGCCAGTGGCTGTGACTTTCCTCTGGTTCCACACTCACTTTTCCCAGCCACTTGACGTGGCGGGCACCCACCACACCAGGAACCACCACCCGAACGGGGAAGCCGTGGTCCCGAGGCAGAGGCTCCCCATTCATCTCATAGGCAAGCAGGACCTCAGCTTCAGGGTTCATTGCTCGAGCCAGAGGGATGGACGCTCCATAGGCAGTTCCAGTGGGGTCAGAGTCCAGCCCCTCGAAACAGACATGGGCTTCAGTGTCAGAGAGCTGGTGACCGGCCTTGGCCAACACATCACAGAGCCGTGCTCCAGCCCAGCGTGCGGTACTAATGGCCCCTATTCTCCAGTCCAGACCTTTCACTTCTTTGAACTGAGTCATCTCGGATCGTCGGTTGCCAGCACACTGTAGAGTTACTGTGATCTCATGTTTGGGGAAGCGGCGCAAGTCATCCAGGGAGAGGGACAGTGACTTCCCCCGACGTGCCCCTTCTACCTGCAGGCGGTAGGTCTTTGGGTCCAGGTTAGGTACAGGCAGATGGTTCCGTGTGAAGAAGATAGAGTTGGGTGTGATATACTTGTCAGTCAGCAGTCCAGGTGGGGGCTCTGCATTAAAGGGGCGCTGGCTGTTGACAGTCAGGGCTGGGTGGCGTACAGGATCATCAGCGTAAGGGTCAGAGGTGCTCAAGGTGGCGGGTGCCTTGTCTTCATGACTCAGCTCCCCAATTTTGTACTCAGCCAGTAACTCTCGCACATGAGGCTGGTTGTGGACAGCATAGAGGGCCCAGAAGGGCTCCAGGGGACCTCCAGCTGCGAGCATCAGCTTTGATGGCCCCCCTGGGTGGAGAGCCACAAATTCAGTGACATCAAAGACCTCATTGCCCAGAGTTACCCAGATCCTGGTCTCTGGAGTGGAGTGGGCTTTCACTTCCTCCCTTGTATATATGCGTGGCATCTCCTTAGCAGCCTGGAAGCAGGGAAGGGGTGAGGCAAAAAGGAACAGTATTTTAAGAAGAAATCACGGAAGCGCTGGAGAGCTAATACAAGGGTTAAGATGGTCAAGGCACTTGCCTTGCATACTGCCGGCCCCATTTGATCCCTAGGCCATATGGCTGGCTGAGCACTGTTAGAGTGGCCACCTCCTTCTCCCCACCTCAAAAAAAAAAATCACTCTAGCTTCCCCTCACCCAAACCACAAAAGAAAGACGAACGGGAAATAGGCAGCAGATTCCAGTTCTACTCTGCATGAACATAGTGTCCCCACTTAGAACTCTGATAACAGCCTAATGGGGAAGTCTCTAGGAGCCCTTCTTCTGGGGGTGACGTCCTTCCTTCCCCCACTTACTCTGCACCGGTGATCATGATAAGCAAAAGCTGCACCGAGGCCTAGCAGGGCTCCCATGACTCTCCACCCTCTGGTGCTGGAGTTACCCCCAGCAGAGGTGAAGTGGCCGTGCTGGGGCTGAAATGAATCATCTGTGGAGAAGATCTGCGTGCAGAGCCTGGAGGCTGACTTCAGTCTGAAACAGAGAGGGGAATTCTTAGTGGAACATTCCTGCAGCACATATGAAAGGGCCCATTTGGGACTGATCTCTGCCTCTCCCTTTCCTAGTTGGCCATGGACTCCTTCCACTGGGGCTTAAGTTTCTCCAGGGATGGCTGGGAAAAGTGAGATTTGGCTTCTTCTGTCTCCCAGAGGCACCTTATCACTCATTCATCTGGCAGATAAAACAAGGCAGTACACTAGGAAGACAGAAAGGGGGCCAGGAAACAATTTCAAGGATGGGACGGCATACCTGCAGGCCTCTTGGAGCCTGATGAGCACAGTTCGGTTCAACAGCAGCATTGTGGCTGACCTGTCGAGGAAGACTCTGGATCAACAAAGGGAATATTATACCAGGAGATACTAGCACAGCTTGGGTATATGGAGAGAAGATAGAGAAGGTCTGCAAAAAAAGTTCTTTGGTCAAAAGAGGTTGTTGTTTTTTTTTTGAATTAACTCTGGAATTACTCCTGGTGGTCCTCAAGGGTACAATATGAGACGTCAGGGGTTGAACCCGGGTTGGCTGCGTGCAAGGCAAACGCCCTATCTGCTGTACTATGCTCTGGCCCCAATAGTTTTTTTTTCTTTGTTTTTTTTTTAGGGTTACAGGGGAGGGTTCCTTCCGGGGGAGGGTTATGGGGGAAGGTAAAGGGGAGGATTACAGGGGAGGGGCTGGAGCAATAGCACAGCAGGTAGGGAGTTTGCTTTGCACGTGGCTGACCTGGTTCGATTCCTCCATCCCTCTCAGAGAGCCTGGCAAGCTACTGAGAGTATCCCACACGGCAGAGCCTGGCAAGCTCCCCATGCTCAATATGCCAAAAACAGTAACAAGTCTCACAATGGAGACGTTACTGGCGTCGCTCCAGCAAATCGATGAACAACGGGACAACAGCGCTACAGTGCTAGTTTTTCAGGGAGAGGGCCACCACTAGGCTGTGTTCAGGGATTACTCCTAGAGGTGCTTGGGGGAACATATAGGGTGCCAAGGATTGAACCCACGTTGACCATATACAAGGCAAATTACTACCCACTGTACTGTAGTACTGTAGTACTGTAGTACTGTATTGCTCCAGTCTCAAAAGGAAAAAAAAATTATGAGGTGATGAGACTCAGTGATAGATGTGGGTGGTCCAATGGGTCTTCGGAGAAAACTGGGCTCACTTTGGGGGGCTACGTGATAGTACAGCAGGTAGGGTGCTTGCCTTGCACGCAGCTGCCCCAGGTTTGATCCCTGGCACCCCATATGATCCCCTGAGTGCCACCAGTGAGCACCGAGCCAGGAATAAGCTCTGAGCACCATCAGGTGTGGGCCCAGAACAAAACCGGACACACTTCAGAGCCGCTCTGCTGACAGGATGGGAGGGAATCGGGCTGGGGAGGAGTCTTCTAGATCTCTCATGCTCCACTTTCTATTTTATCCAAACCAGAGAACAGCACCAGGGGCCAAGGGCCTAAAGGACAGAAGCCAAGTGTCAATCGTGCAGTTTGCCAGTTGATTATTTCTTTAGTCAGTAAAGGACAACCAAGGGATAGATTTAAACAGATTAAAAAAAAATAGTGGGGGGGATATTGGGATCATTGGTGGTGGAGAATGGACACTGGTGGAGGTATGGGTACTCGATCACTGTATGATTGAAGTGCAAACATGAAAGTTTGTAAGTCTGTAACTGTTTGTAAGTCTGAATCACCCCACGGTGATTCACTAATAAGTAAAGTAACATATTCGATATGCCAAACACAGTAATAACACTAATAAAAAATTTAAAAAAAATAGTAAGTGAAAAAAGACAGCTGGAACTAAAAGGAGTGAAGGAGCCCAGATCCTGAAGTCAAAATGCTCTGCTTTGGTGAAAATGGCCCTGTAATTAATCAGCCCTGCTCCCTGAGCCAACAGCAAGCTTCTCTGAACCTACATCCTCCTCGCTGAGATCTACCTAGCAGAACTGCTGGGAAAAGTAAACAAGCAATAACATTTTGTTCCTTCCACTCATTCCACTATCCCTTAAAAAGGCGGGGTGAGTGGGGGGGGGGGGCGGGGGACCCAGCTAGAGACATTAAGCTGGGGCCCTTACCCTACTTGTCTTGGCATTCCAGTGAACTCAGCAAATTGACAAGTTAATGATCAAGGTCCCGGGATGGGCGACAGAAGGAGGGAGGTGGTGTGCTCTCCACCCAGCAGCAACAACTCACAGCTCCAACACGGGGATCACTGACCCCAAGAGGGTCAAAGCGGGGACGGGTGACAAGAGTCCCAATCACTGATCGGATGCAAGGGGGCGAGAGAGAAACTGCGAGGGACAGAGGGGTAGGAGCCGAGTAAATTCCAAGCCGGGGCCGTGGGCAGCTTCAATTTCCACCCCCACCCCTTCTCCTAAACCAGTCTGGGGCGGTGCGTGGCGGGCAGAACTGAAGGGTGAACCTGGTCAGCTGAATGCCCCCCGGTCTGAGAGAAAGCAGTTTTCTGCTCTCCAACTGCTGTCATCCGCACGTGAGCGTGACTGTCTCTTACTCCTTAGAGACTCTGAAGAATTCAGCACCTGGACATAGCGCCGGGTCCCAGGCACCCGCCAGCAGCTAAAACGCGCAACATCCCGATCCCGCAGCGGCACCGGGGAAGCGTGTAACGACAGTTTCCTGGTCCCTGGGCTTGCAGCACCCGCGGAGAGCAAAGCCCGGGTTACCGGCTCTGGCTGCACCACTTCCCCCGCCCGGCCCCGGGCCCCTTACCGATTCCGATTCCGATTCCGTGCGCTGGCTGTTTTACCTGCCGGCGGCCCCGCGAATGCTGGTAGAGGGGCGGCGTCAGCACCGTGACGTCAGGGAGGAGCCCAGGACCACTCTCGCCCCTCGACTCGGCTCCCGGCCAGTGAGTGGCGCGCCGCGGGCCGCCTCCGCGCCGCTGTGCCCGCCCTTCCCGGCGGGCGCGGCTCTACGCGGCGGGTAGTTTTTGTCCCCCCCGCCGCCACGCAGGACCTGGCACCCTCACTGATGTTCGGAATATAGTGGCCGGTGACGAGGACGCCTATCACGTGCAGCCGAGGTGGGAGAGGTTGGAGATGCCCGTGCCCCGCCCCGACAAAGGAGGCACTAGGTGGGTTCACTGCTGGAAATTTCGGGATCCAGCTGGTTTTTCCCTCCACGGTGAGCTCCGCCTCTACCCGGTTTTTTTCCAAGAGAACTGTGTTGCAACTACAAAGCCACCCCCATCTTTCGGAGAAATAAAGGTCAAGCACTCGATTTTCTTAAACCCAGAAAAGAGTGCAAATGCTGCCTAAAGAGTGGTTCGAAGCCTTCCAGATTCCCAGACTAGCTGAATTTATCTCCAAACCATGGAACCAATAATACTGAATAGCCAGAGCCATTTAAAAATTTTTGCTTGTCAGTTAAAAGGATCTAGAACAACAGCACAGCGGGTAGGGCGCTTGCCTTGCATGCTGCTGATCCCGACACCCCATATGGTCCCCCAAGCCCCTCCAGGAGTAATCTCTGAGCCCAGAACTAGGAGTTAACCCTGAGCACCGCTGGGTGTGGCCCTCAAGATAAAATTATGTATTACGTATACATTTTATATTAATGTAATTATATATTCATATGTAAGTATATAAATAAACCTACAAGAGCAATTCTTTTTCCGGGTCACACCCGGCTGCTCTTTAGCCCCAGCTAAATGATATTGATAATGATATTTTAAACCTAAAAGTGTTAAAATTATAATAGCTCATAATCTCAGAGAATACTAATAAAAGACGGGTGCATCACACACACACAAGCACGCCCGAGCTGGAGCGATAGTATAGCAGACAGGGTGCTTGCTTTGGACCCGGGTTAGACCCCTGGCATCTGGCATCCCATGATTCCCCAAACCTACTCCAGAAGGGATCCCTGAGCCAAGAGCCAGGAATAATCCCTGAGCACTGCCGGTGTGGCCCCAACCTCCCCCACAAACGAAAACCATAAAAAAAAGTGGGTGCATCGTCATTTTGGTGCAGGGTTGAATTTTATTTTTGTGGTCAGTTGGCTGTAAAACTGGGGCAAACGTATCCACACTGCCCCCTAGAGGTTATAAAGTCTAACTACAACTATACTCACCTTTTAGTGGGGCGGCCTCCATCTCTCTCCCACCTACACCGACGCGCCCCCTTCCCCACACACACACCCTGGGTAACACACTGCCTTAACCCCTGTCGAATCTCAGACCCAAGTAAGATTTTCATCTAGTGCAAAATTAAATCATTGAAAAGGTTTCATGTCCTATCTTACCAATGTTAAAATCAGACTCATGAACCAGAGAGGTAGTAGGGGGGTTAAGGTGATTTTTTTGTCTGGCGTTTGGGCCATACCTAGAGGTGCTCAGGGCTTACTCCTGTCTCTGTGCTCAGGGATGCCTGTTGGCTGGGCTCGGGGACCTTAAGGGGTGCCAGGAACGGAACCTGGGTGCCATGTGCAAGGCAAGTATGCTACCTGCAGTACTGTCTCTTGAGTCTCCTAAGGTAGGTCCCTTGTAGGCAGTTGACTCTGGTTTCAGTACGGCATATGGTCTCCTGAACCCTGCCATAAGTGATCCCTGAGCACAGCGGGGTGTCTACGCTCACCCCCCAGAAAAAGGTATCAGCAGAATTGGGTATTTTAATTGGAAGATAGCTCCAAGAGCTGGAGTGCACGAACACAGAGGTCCTGTTTCAATCCCAGCACCACAAGGTTCCTGGGCCCCACAAGATTACACCCAAGCAGCATGCTGGGTCAGGTCCTCCAGTCCCAAAGCACCACCCCACCCAAACACACAAACACGCACACACATACACACTCATATGGATTAGGCTCAGCAGAGAAGAAGGGATCTAATTTGTTTTGTTATGAGAACTCAAGCTCTCAGCTCTGAGTTCAACTGGGTAGGGCCCCAAACAAAACAAAATGACTTCTGTATGACACATTCAGAACACGTATCCCTTATATAATTGACATCATGTGTGCCAATTCCAAAGCATGTCTGCTTTACGTAACTGAAATTTATTTTGGGGGTTTGTCAGGGATCTACTGCAAGTATACACTTTATTACTTAGCCACATCTGGCCCCTATAATTGATCCTTTTGGAGCCAGAAAGATAGCAGGTAGGGCCTTGCATGCAGCTAACTTGGGTTTGATCCCTGTCACCCCAATATTGTTCCAAGTCTGACAGAAATAATCCCGAATGCAGACTAAGAACTAAGCCCTGAGCACAGCCAAGTGTGGTTCCCCCACCAAATCAAAGAACAACAAAATGGGTCCTTTTTATGGATGGGAATGGTTGTGTTTGGTGTTGGGTACACTGGCAGTACTTGGTGGCGACTCCTGGTTCAGGGGACCATGGGTACCAAAGATCAAATTATGTTGGCCATATGCAAGGTAAGTACTGTAGTCCTTTACTACCATTCTGACCCTTGAGGTTACACCCAGGAGTGCTCTGGGGCTACTTCTGTTGGTGCTCAAAGAATTTTGTGGTACTGGGAGTCGAAACATCCTCAAAGTATACAGCCCTTCGTGCTATCACCTAACTTACAAATTGATTTTTGAACCTTTTTTTGGGGGAGGGGTCATACCTGGTGATGCTCAAGGGTTGCTCCTGGCTCTGTGCTCAGGAATCACCCCTGGTGACTCGGGGAACCATCTATGATGCTGAGGATTAAACCGGCGTTGGTTGTACAATGTCAGCTGTGTGTTTACCTTACTTGCTGTACTAGCATTCTGGCTCCCTAATTTTCATCATTTGTCAGAAGAAATGGATGCAGTTAGGGATGAAACATATGGCTCCAAAGTATAAGGCCCTGGGGCTAGAGTGATAGCACAGCGAGTAGGGTGTTTGCCATGCACGCGGCGGACCCAGGTTCGATTCCCAGCATCCCATATGGTCCCCTGAGCACCGCAGGAGTAATTCCTGAGTGCAAAGCCAGGAGTAACCCCTGAGCATCGCCAGATGTGACCCAAAAACAAAAAACAAACACACAAACAAAAAAACCAAACAAACAAAACCCAAAGTATAAGGCCCTGGTTTGATTCGTAGCACCATCTCCTCTTCCCCACTCCTAAAGAGACAGAAGTTATTTGATCAAGGTCACAGGCAGTGAGCATGGAAGAGCGGGAATCTGAGGTCTGTGTGATACTTACTACCCTTCCTGTTCTTCAGAGTCTCTAATTTTATTTGAGGGAAGGTTTTTCCTGACAGTAATCAGCTCGGTTGTGGCCATGAGAGTCCGTTCAATGCTTGAGGGTGATGATGCAGTGTGAGGTGCCATCAGAACCATTCTCAGAGGCAGTGCTTGTAGGACATCAGTTAATACTACCTGACAGTAACTGGGGTGCTATACAGGTGCTGGGAACAACTTGGGCCTGATCTCTACTATCTAAGCTATCTCCCTGGTTCTTTAGTAATCTTATTTTTTTGGGGGGCGGGGGGACTGTGTGTTGAGCATACACATTGGTGCTCAGGGGACCTTATGTGGTACTGGGATTCAAACCAGGGTTACAGCTGCCACAGCATTATTCAGGTTAAGTGCCTCATCTCCTGTATTGTTCCTCTGGCCCTGATACATTTTGTTTTAAAGGGTTTTACTGGAGGGGCTGGAGAGATAGCACAGTGGGTAGGGCGTTTGCCTTGCACGTAGCCGACCCAGGTTCGATATTTGGTAACTGCTTATTTACTTATTTGGGGGGTGACGCTGGTCACACCCTGGTGCTGCTCTGGGCTTACTCCTGGCTCTGTGCTCAGGATCACTCTTGGTAGTTCTCAGGAGGATCCTATGCAGTGGAAAGATTGAACCAGGGTTCAGGGATTCAATTTTATATAAGGCAAATGTCTTAAGTGGGTTTTTTTGTTTTTTTTTTTTTTTTAGTTTTTGGGTCACACTCAGCTATGCTGAGTGTTACTCCTGGTGGTGTCTGGGGACCATATGGGATGCAAAAACCTTACCCTCTGAACTATCGCTTCATTCCTTGGTCGTCGATTGCCTCGAGCAGGCCCCAGTAACGTCTCTTTCATCCTAGCCCTAAGATTATATTCAAGGCTATTTAGGAGAGAGACCCATCATTGTTACTGGTATTTGGCATATTTGGTGCGCCACGGGGAGTTTGCCAGACTCTGCCCTGTGGGCAGGCTATATGTGATAGCCTGCAAGTTTGTCCAGAGTAGGAATGAGATAATAAGATATCATAAAAAGATGTCCTGATAAGAGGTCGCGCGGCTGCTAATGCGGCCGCGCGGTTCCGAGAGCTGGATTTTATAGTCTCTGAGTCTTGGCCATTGATGGGATTACACGGCGCCAGGGGGCCAGGTGGTGGGTGTGACCCCCGCCTACTGGAATTTGGAGGATCTGGGTGGAGGATGCTCGACTCCAATTCGAGTAGGCTTGGAGATCTCGGCCTCGGAACCCGCGTGGCTTTGTCCCTCTGCCAGTACCTTCATGTGTGCGGAGAGTGGTCTCAGCATGGTGGTGGCTGGTCCTGGAGGTCTTCGGCTGCCGTAGCCCTGGTCGGGGCGGGGAGGAAAGCTCAACCCGCTCCCCTCCAAGGGACTCCGGGAAGGAACACCCAGGCGCGGGGGCAGAAGACTGCACTGTTCTCGTCCGGGATCTGGATTTTAGAGTCTCTGAGTCTTGGCCGCTGATGGGATTACACGGCGCCAGGGGGCCAGGTGGTGGGTGTGACCCCCGCCTACTGGAATTTGGAGGATCTGGGTGGAAGATGCTCGACTCCAATTCGAGTAGGCTTGGAGGTCTCGGCCCCGGAACCCGCGTGGCTTTGTCCCTCTGCCAGTACCTTCATGTGTGCGGAGAGTGGTCTCAGCATGGTGGTGGCTGGTCCTGGAGGTCTTCGGCTGCCGGAGCCCTGGTCGGGGCGGGGAGGAAAGCTCAACCCGCTCCCCTCCAAGGGACCCCAGCGAGGAACAGCCAGGCGCAGGGGCAGGAGACTGACTGCACTGGTCTCGTCCGGGAGCTGGATTTTATAATTCCTTGGTAATTTTTTTTTTACCCTGCAGTACTCAAGTGTTACTCCTGGCTCTGCACTCAGCAATCACTCCTGGCGGTGGTCAGGTGACTTATGTGTGGCGCTGGAGATTGAACCTGGGTCCTGGGTGAGCTGTGTGTAAAAGTGCCTGATCCACTGTACTTTCCCTGGCCCCTTACTCATTTTTTTAAAACCTTCTTTTGGAGGGCTGGAGCAATAACACAGTGGGTAGGGCATTTGCCTTGTACACAGCCGACTGGGTTTGATCCCCCAGCATCCCATATGGTCCCCCGAGCACCGCCAGGAGTAACTCCTGAGCATCGCCAGGTGTGACCCCAAAAGCAAAAAAACAAAACAAAACAAAACCTTCTTTTGCATGGTACCCTGATTCCTGATACATAAAAGTAACGGATCCTTCTCTCTTGAAAATGTACATAAACTTTTTTGGTTTTTGGGCCACACGCAGGAGTGCTCAGGGGTTGTGGGGTTGCTTCAGGTTCTGCACTCAAAAATTACTCCTGGCAATGCTTAGGGATGTATGGGATATTGGGGATCAAACCTGGGTTGGCAACGTGCAAGGCAAGTACTTTATCTGCTGTACTAACCATTAAGACAATCCAAATGAAAATGCACATAACTTTTGCATAATTCAAAGGGTTTGTAAGTTACACTTCTTCCTCCAATGCCATTAATTATTAAACTGGCCCAGAGGTCCCGACACCTTCCACTGCCCACTGCAGATAAATTAACTATTCAAGAAAAGGTGAAAGGGAATAGGGAGGTACCAGGGATGCTAGAGAGGTTATGTTTCTGAATCAATAAAACACTGTGTGCTTGATTGGGTTGGAGCGATAGCACAGAGGGTAGGGCGTTTGCCTTACATGCGGCCGACCCGGGTTCAATTCCCAGCGTCCCATATGGATCCCCAAGCACTGCCAGTAGTGATTCCTGAGTGCAGAACCAGGAGTAACCCCTGAGCATCAGTTGGTGTGACACCCCCCCCCAAAAAAAAACTCGAACATTGTGTGCTCTGTTTCCCAATTTCTGGTATCAGAAAGATAAACAACGACGATAAAAAAGCAACACTCCAATACAATTTTTTTTCTCCATTTTTACTTACATTAAATACATCGGTAAATCAGCAGTCGCATTCTGTTACCACGATTGTTATGTTGGGAGAGGAAGAAAGAGGGAAAGGCAAATGCTCTCTCAGAAGCAAAAAGAAAACAAAGGGGGGGGGAGAAAAAAGGACACCACTCCCAAAAATCTGATCAGAAGAAAAGAAGAGCCGAGAAATGAAAACCAAGATCCCAAAGATCCCAAGCCCAACAAAGCTCAAAGGAAAGCAGAAGAGTTTGTAAGAAGCAGGAGGAAGGCAGCAGATGGGCCCAGAGCTAAGGCCGATCCTGTCGATGGGGGCCTGGGAGGGGAGACCCCTGGAGAAACGGCGTCCCAACTCCAAGACAATGAGGCATCTTCACTCCTGCTAAGTGGGGAAAGATGCAGAGAAAGAACTTTCTTTTGAAGAGACTAAAGAGTCATCCGAGCTCTTCCACTTCGAAGGATGCACTGGGTGCTTTGGGGGTCTCGGGGAGACTGGAAAGGAAGGAGGCGTGGTGGGGGCGGAGTTTGTATGTTTTAGGGCCACAGGAACTAAGGCTGCCCCTGGGAAGGATGGGAATTGAGGCCTAAGTGGAAAAACCTGAGCTGGGTCCTTCAGAATCTCAGCTTCATGAATTTCTCAGCTGCTCTGGGACAGAAGGCAGTCTGAAAGCCAAAAGGGCAGGAAGGTTCCTATCCTAGGTCACTGTAGCCTTTCCGAGCGTATCTCCCAAATTTTCCCAAAACTCTGGGCTGGAACAATGAGCTCAGAGTTCTCTCTTGCCTTGATGGCTTCCTACAGACATCCTAAAACATCTGACGAGGGCTGTGAACAGAGGTTGGATTTAGAAAGAACCATCACGGAATCCTCTGGTGATATGAGAAAGCTGTGAGGGACTTTCAGTGCTAATTAGTCCCTGTCCATAGGAACAGGTGATGTGAAGGGCAACAAGCCAGCCTCTTGTGGTGCCAGCCCCTCGTGGTATCTGGATTAAGCCACTGTTGCATGGGGGTGGAGGTGGGGGGTGGGCAGGAACAGGGTTAAGGATGGAGGCACTAAACTGAAGGTACCAATGGAGAAGAGAAGAAACAGGGCCTGATGGGAGGAGGAAGACAGAACAGTCTAAGATGGGAAATCACGATCATACCTATTTACAGGGAAATAGAAAAGACATGACAATGGGTGGATCGAATTGAATGTGAACCCTGGGAAAGAACAGAGAACGCGTCCCCGTTGCCTGACTCCTCTTCACTCCCCTACCTTGGCCTAAGCAATCCTGAGAACACTCTCCAGAAGCTCAGTTAATTTCCCAGGAAAGAAAAACCTACACCCAAGAGCCAGGTTGGCAGGAACAGATTAAGAATCAGAGCTGGAAGAAACTAGCAGTGGAGACCGGGCTTGGGCAGCTGCCACCGGTACTATACTCTACAGCCTCTCCCCAAACCTCATACACACCTTGGATTCTATTTCATTAAAAAGGGAAGAGGTCAGGTAAGTCAATCAGAACCCCATGAAACAAGTATCCCAACGAAACTCATCAATTAAAGTGCAAACTGCAGGGGGAGATAGTGGCTGGGGCCGAGGCCATCGCAGGGCCAGAGAGAAAAGAACAAATGCATATGTATAAATCAGAGGACGGGCATCAAAATCTGGACCCTCCTCCAATTAGATCACAGCAGAGCCAAAGATGCAGGCAACAGTGAAGATTCTTTGGAGGACTCTGGGGTCCAGAGTCTCCCCCATGAACAGGGGAGAGGCTACCTAAAAGGCTGGGTGAGGGAAAACTAGGCTTTGGGAGAGTTCCAGAGCCACGGATGACACTGCCATGTGTACCTCCACCCAGTCAGCTAACAACGTGACTCCCACCAGGTGCCCGAGAGCTTGCCTTCCCACCAAGAAACCCTCCACGAGACCAACTCATGGATTCTGCAGTGTTTTCAAATATGAGAAACCAACGAGATAAAAAAAGGAAAATGTTTCCTTACTCCCTCCTGCTCTGAGCCCTATACTCCGCCCCCCAGAGCCCTCTACAGGACTGGACTGAAAACTTCCTTCCTCAGTTCCTGGAACCACGACCTTCTCCATCCTGGGGAGAGGAGGAAAAGGGGGTCAACAGCAGGGACTGACAAAAGCAGAAGGGGAAGAGGCGGGAGACAAAAAACATTTTCAGGAAAAATGAGGAAGAGAAGGAAAGAGACGCAGGTCACTGTCTTGCACCTATAATACACAGTGAAGAAAGTTTGTTTTGGAAGGTAAGTCCCGGGGATCTGACCCCCAAGCCCCACCGTAGGGGGTCAGAGGCCAGTGGCAACAGCTGCCTGGTGTCGGTTGCTGAAGCGTTAAAAAGTGCCAAGACGGAGCTGTCAGGAGGCAGCCCTTGGGAGCCAGGGCTCAGTGTGCTGTTACCATAGGGGCTGTGTGCTGAGGGGTGGGGACAGAGGTTATTTCTTAGCTCTCGTGCTAGCTCCAGACTCGTTCGCTGCTAGCCGCCCCCTCAGTTGCTACAACACTGGCTCTTGTTCTGCTGGGACTGCTCGTGGAGATCCACACCCCGGCTTCGGCCTGCTGCACCCCCCAGGTTCTGGGGTTCGCTCTTTGGCAACTTCTTAGCTAGAGATAAAAAGAGAAGGAAACAAAGTATGACGGCGTTTACTCATTCCCCCAAAACACTGTTGGGTGAGGGAAGCAGAGGGAGGAAGGGGAAACGGGAGAGGCTGAAGCAATGTTCTGAAAAGGGGAGGGCCACCCAGACTGCCAACTACACTGAAGATGCGAGGTCAAGCTACACCCCAAGAATGGCGACCTCAGTGGAAGGTTAGAGAATTTCCATAGCGAAGTTTCACAGAACTCCCATCTACTTTTGTGGTCTGAGGGTTAATGATCTTGTCCAGCAGCAAGGGGAAAGAAAGACCTCAGGCTGCTCGGACCTTACCTATTGCCAGGAAGAGGTCGTTCACGTTCATAGCTGTCTTAGCTGAAGTCTCCATAAACAATAAGCTGTTGTCATCTGCGTACGCCTGGGCCTCCTGCAAGGGGTGGGGTGTACTGGTGCTCAGAATGTCCAGCAGGGAAAAAAACACTGCCTTTACACTCCCATGTAGCACCAGAGCTAGGCAATATCCTAAGTTCCCTCCCCGTACGTGACCCAGTAAGCCAGCTGGCTCTGGGCCCATATTTTGGTGATGACTCCCTTAAGGACAGACCAGTGTTTCTTACCCAGGGGCCATATGGACCCTGTGGGCCCCCATGGTATCACGAGAGGGTCAGGGGTGAAAACCAGAAAAATGGGAGGCCGTAGCATGAGACTAGGGAACTGATAGGGCAGGGGATGGGGGCACATGAAGGAAACAAGGTTGGGAGGGGGCCACAATTGATAAAGGCTGAGAGATACAAATCTAGACCACCCTCCAACAAAGATCTATCAGGAATTTTGATTCTAGGGAGAAGGTTAAGTTGGTCGGGGCTTTTGAATTCTGAGACTTGAATAGTCCCTTACCTCAAATTCAACTGCTCCCTCCTTCCTGTTTGCATACTGGTACCCCCACAGCTGGTACTCCCCTACCCCTCTGCTCTGGAATTTTCTTCTGACTCCTCTAAACTCTCTTGGCTGTCATTAAGGTCACAGTGTTGCTGTATTTAACTTGGTGCAGAACTGGGAAATGAGATGATGAATGTCCTCAGATGAGTTTTTCAGAAAGGGCAGGTTTGGAAATAAGGTCCCAAGCACCGACGGAGATGTAAGAGGGGGGCTCTACAGGCTATCTTACTTCGTACTCCACCATGCGCTTGTTGGCTAGATCAGCTTTGTTCCCCGCCAGGGCAATAACGATGCTAGGGCTGGCCTGTCGCTGTAGCTCCTTTACCCATGTCTTTGCCCGGGCAAAGGTTTCCTAGGAGAACACGAGAGAGCGAATGAGAGGGCTGGGGCAACCGCCAATTCAGATCCCTCCCACTGACATCCCCGTCTCAAGCTCCCTTCTCTCCCTGAAACAGGTTCCCCTCCCTGAGACCCCCCATCTCTCATCATTCATGACCTGTTTCTCAGCACTAGGGAGCATAATTTTCACTCTTATTCTGCTATTCTTTTGCCTGAGATGCAGTGCTGAGAATCAAACCCAGGGCCTCACACATGCGAGGCCTGCGTTCTGCCATGCAGCCACATCCTTGGTCCTTTATTTTGCCATTTTGAGAATCAATCTTCTCTCCCCCATCCAAGTCCTATCATTTAAAATCCTAACTATCAATGAAAGTTAGGACAATCTTAGCCAACAGCTTACCTGATTAGTAATATCATAAACCACAATTGCAGCTTGGGCACCTCTGTAGTACATAGGGGCCAAGCTATGGTATCGCTCCTGCCCAGCTGTGTCCCAGATCTCAAACTTGACTGTTGTGTCATCTAGGCAGACAGACTGGGTGAGGAAGGCCGCTAGGGATGAAAGAGCAGACAGGAAAAATGTTGTAAGTGGGAAGAGAAATGAAAGCATTCTACCTCTCTTTCAAAATGTCTCTATTCTCAGTCTATGATCAGTCAACTCTATCTACCCAGGCCACTGAACTACAGGAAAAGGTTTAGTGTTCTACTTGACAAGAGTAAAAACTACTCGTGGCTAAGTCCTTCTCTAGCTAAGAAATTCTCTAGCTAAAGTTTCTCTTATTAAGGAATGGGAGGTGGGGGGTACATTTTAGGAATAATAAGGACAACACTTTTCTTATCTAAACAGAGGATAACATGATAACATGATAGAAAGTGTAAGCTTCAATTAAAAAACATATTGAGACTTAATTTAAAGCTACAGAGCAAGTTCCACCGCTATGTTATTTGGCCTTTACTTTTCTATATAATTTCTGCTGGTCCAAGAAGATATCTCTAAGTGAATTAGTAAAAGATGGGGAGGAGTAATGTGTGAATTCTCACAAATATTCTTTATTGAATTAGCACCTTATTTTGGGTCATGGGAGGAGAAGGCATCAAAGGTGGGAAAGGAAGAAACTCTGTTTATAAATTGGCATTTAATTGCAGCATCTATTTTACCAGATGTGTATCAGAATCATCTAAGAAGCTTTTTTTTTTTTGCTGCTTTCTGGATCACACCCGGCGATGCACAGGGGTTACTCCTGACTCTGCACTCAGGAATCACTCCTGGCAGTGCTCAGGGGACCATATGGGATGCCGGGAATCGAACCTGGACCGGCTACGTGCAAGGCAAATGCCCTACCCGCTGTGCTATCTCTCCAGCCCCCCATCTAAGAAACTTTTAACATACATTTCTGCACTACTGTCAACCTGACTCAACCTCCAACAGCAGATTGAGGATAGGGTTTAAGCATGCACAGGATGAAAATGCTCCCCAGTGATTCTGATGTACAATTTTTTTTAATTACAAATCACTGCTCCAAACCAAGGTTGCTCGAACTAACACTCAATTGAACTTCACTGGGTAAGAGTATGGAGACAGATTGTGATAAACAATATCAACAATTTCCAAGGTTAAAGTTTTTTCCTACTAGCCATAGAAAATGAAAATGCACCTGCTTGGGGCAATGTAGATTTTTGCTTTGTTTCATTTTAGAGAATTTCCAGTCCAGAGAGCTAAAATGACCAGCTCCACAGAAAAGTTCCTAGATCTGCCTTCAAAAGTCTGAGCACTGAACATCATCTTTCCCAGAGGTACTTACCTCCAATAGTACTCTCCTGGTACTCATGGAACTGCCCTTTGACAAAACGTAATACCAGGCTAGACTTCCCCACCGCAGATTCACCAAGCAGGACCAATTTGAACTGACATATTTTGCTGGCCTGGGGCTGCCCGTTGGGCCTTGCTGTGCTTCTGCTAGTCATGGCTAGACGTCAGAGTGGGCAAGGGCGGAGGGAGGGGGGTGCCACAGAGCGGCAAAGGGGGGAGGGGGAGGGGAGGGGACCTCCAGGCTTCAACAGTCCTGCAAGAAAAAAAGATGGGTAAAATTAAACACAGTACCTTTTTTTTTGAGCAGGGAGGCACTCAGGAATCACTCTTGATTCTGCACTCAGGCATCTAACTGCAAGGCAGGCACCACAGCCCTTTCCTTATTCTGCTTTCCAACCCCCCCACCCAGTGCTATTGAGCCATAATCACTTTTTTTTTAGGGGGGAGAAAGAGTATCTTTATTTCTTTGCTCCTATGAGGATTTAGCTCTTATAAATCATCTATCTGGGACATGCTAACACTTCTGGGGCTGGGGGATTAGCACGACGATGAGCTCAATGCTGGAGGTCCAGGTTAAATCTTTGGCATGTTATAGTTCCCTAAACACCACGGGGAAGAAGCAATGAGCACGGAACCAGGACTATCCCCTAAATACCACCCAGGTGTGGCTCCAACCCCACCCCCAACACCCAAAAAATAAGAAAAAGAGATGTTACACTTCTGAAAGGGTCCTGGGTAACCAACACTCAGTGATAAGAATGGTCAAAGAGACAGTATAGCAGGTAGGGCATTTAAAATGCCTTGCATGCAGACAAACTGGGTTTGACCCTGGCACCACATATTGTCCCCTGAACCCTGCCAAGAATGAATCTGGAGCACTGAGCACAGAGCCAGAAATAAGCCCTGAGCACAGCCAGTGTAACCCCCAAAAATGGGAGAAGAAAGAAAAGAACATCTTCGGGGGCTGGAGCAGTAGCACGGCGGGTAGGGCATTTGCCTTGCATGCAGCCGACCCGGGTTCGATTCCCAGCAACCGATATGGTCCCCTGAGCACCGCCAGGAGTAATTCCTGAGCACAGAGCCAGGAGTAACCCCTGTGCATCGCTGGGTGCCTAAAAAGCAAAACAAAAAAAAAAGAAAGAAAGAAAAGAAAAGAACATCTTCAATGTAGTTTACCCTACCATGTAATCCCTAACTGCAAGAAGACTGGAGTGGAGAGATGGAAAACTCTGAGTACTTTCAGTTGCCCATTCATTTCCCAACATGCCTTTAAAAAATACCAATTCCCCTATCACCACCCTCAGCTGGGCTTCCTCAGCAGTGTTCTGGGGCTCAGGGGCCTGACAACACCTGGCTCGGGCACCTGGTGCAGTTCTGCACAGGCCCAGGTGCTGGGGATACCAGCACTAACCCTATGGTGTTCGAGGAATCATGTGGTACCTGGGATCAAATCCGGGCCTTATGCATTCTCCTTGGTCTCCGACTGCTGGCATTACCCACCTAACCCCTGCTCCTCATCACCTTTCAGTCTAAGGTAAGGTAAAGGTAAAGGCCCTCCCGTTGATCGTCGATTTGCTCGAGCGGGCCCAGTAACGTCTCCATTGGAGACTTTGTTGTTACTGTGTCTGGCATATCGAATACTCTCGGTAGCTTGCCGGGCTCTCCGAGAGGGGCGGAGGAATCGAACTCGGGTCGGCCATGTTGGCCGCTTGTAAGGCGAACGCCCTACCCGCTGTGCTATCGCTCCAGCCCTCCTTTCAAATTTCTGGTCAAAGATGAGAAGCAAAACACAAGCAATAGACCCCATACTGTATCAGCTACCTCTGCTTCTACCACATTTCCAAATCTGAGTGTAAAGGGAAGTAGGCTTGATCCACTCTCAATTTGAACCTGTCATTTTAGTCCCTAAGGATTAAGTTACCCACCACACTCAACAGACCCAAACCTGCAGCTCTCTCCAAATTAGGAGCAGAAAAAGATACGCCTTTTAAACCAGAGGTTCCAAGCTTATTTCAACTTTTGCCCCCTTTTTAGAAAAAGCAACGCAGGAGAGACAGTACAGTGGGTAAGACACTTGCCTTGCAAGCTGACCTGGGCTTGATCCCTGACATCCCGTATGCTCCCCTAAGCCCTGCCAGGAGTGACTCCTGAGTGCATACCCAGGAGTTTCCTTGACCATTACTGAGTGTGGCCAAAACCAAAAACCAAAAAACCAAGAAAATGTTACTCAGTGCCCCTCTAGAAATCTACCTTTTTGTGTGTTTGTGTGTGTGTGTGTGGGGGGGGGGGGTCGGGGAGGCGCAGGGATTGTCACACCTGGCAGTGCTGAGGGATCAAGTACAGAGGACAGGGTGCTTGCCTTTTACTCCGTCTGCCCAGGTTCGATCCCTGACTTCCCATATGGTCCTCTGAGCACCACCAGGAGTGATTCCTGAATGTAGAGCCACTCCAGAAATCTTTTTTTTTTTGGCTGGGGAGGGAGGAATCACCATAGTAGGCATGTTGAGGGATCATACATGTTGCTGGGTGGCGGGGGGGGGGGGGGGTGTCAAACCTGGGCTGGCCATGTCCAAGGCAAGTGCTGTACCTGCTGTACCATCACTCCACCCATGGAAATCAACCCTAAGTGTACAAACAGAAAGCACCTTCCCACTCACCCCCCCCCCCCCCCGGGAATGTATGAATCACTTCGGGAAACTGTTCTGGCATTTCTCAACCAGGTCATAAGGTCCCCTATGAACCCTCAGGATATTCCAAGGAGACCACAGCCCAAGACAAGGGGCCAGCCTGTAGGAGAGTGGGGGCTACCAGAAAGAAATAAGGCTGGAAGGGGGTCATGGCTTAAGATCGAGATACACTGTTCTAGAGGATGATATAGAGCAGAGGGTTCAAACTTTTTACACCAGTGGACTAACATGAGTTCACAGACCAACTTTTTCAATGACCCACAGGGAAGTTCTGTGGTTGTCTGTGGACCAGCGGTTGAAAACTACTGACATAACTACCTGATGAAGAAAAGAACTGAATCACCTACTCTACCTTCTAAGATATTAGGAATATTGTGTTCGAGAAGACAGAAAGGAATGTTGGAATATAAGCATCAAATCATTCAAACCTAAATGTCCTTCATCCTGAGCCAAAAGGGAAAGAAACTATGAGACTCAAAAAACTTAACATAGGGCCAGGATGTAGAGGGCATGCCAGGCATATGTGAGGCCTCGGGTTCATTTAGGTTGTACTTTGCTTGTGCAAATTCATCTATCCATTCTGCGGGGTTAATTCTATTTACCCCACAACAATATATTCTCTGGCTTATGTGGGAAAAAGTTATTTTGTCACTATAGCAAGTTGCTCTGGAGTAAGATCAGGGTTAAAAATTCCTGCAAAACTCAGGGCTGGAGAGACAGTACAGATGGCAGGGCACTTGTTGTGCCGGTGGCCGATCCTGGGTGGATCTCTGGTACCCCAGATGGTCCCTAAAGGCAGAGCCAGGTGTAAACCCTGAGCACTACCATGTGGCCCCGAAACAAAAACAAATTCCTGCTAAACTAAAGACTGAAGGAACAACAGGGGCCAGAGAGAGCACAGAGGTTAAAGAGCTGGCCTTGGACATGAATTGACTATGGCCAGGTGTGGTGCCCCCACTCTTTCCCCACAAAGACAACAGATAGAGAATCATACAAGAGGAATAACTACTGTTGAAGATCAAAGAGATAGTATAGTGGGTAGGGTGCTTGCCTTGAATGTGGCAACTGGGGTTCAATCCCAGGCACACCACATGGTCCCTTAAGTAATGATAAAAATGATCTCTGAGCACAGAGCCAGGAGTAAGGCCTCAGCAACCACGGGATGTGGCTTCCAAACCCACACTCCCCCAATCCCCTGAGTTTTATTATTTTTGGACCATACCTGGTAGTGCTCAGAGCTTACTTCTGGCTCTGTGCTCAGGGATCACTCTTGGCAAGGCTCAGGGGACTATATGGGGTAGCTGGGATCAAACTCGGGTTGATGCATGCAAGTGCCCTACCTTCTGTACTATCTGTGTAGCCTCTTGTATTTAGAGTTTTGGGTACCTTACTCAATCTGTATTTGTTTCCTCGTTTGTAAAATGGAAAAACTCTCTAATGAATACCTACATCCTAAGTTTGTTTTGAGGACTGACTCAGATAATACCCATAAAAAAACTTAAAAAAAAATCTAATACTGGAGACAGAGAGCTATAGTATAGCTGGTAAGGCATTTGCCTTGCATGCCGTTGACCTGGATTCAATCCCCAGCATCCATATGGTCCCCTGAGCATCTCCCAGAATGACTCCTGAGTACAGATGTAGGAGTAACACCTACACCCTGAGCATCATTTGGGTGTGGCCACAAAACAAAACAAAAAAACTGGCATAAAGTGCTTCATGACTAGTTTCTGGATTTGGGCACGTTGGTGGTGTTCAGGAATCACTCCTGGCAGTACTCAAGAGAACTGTATTTGGCTACAGCAAAGCAAGCCTTACTCACTGTACTAGTCTCTGGCTCTTACCAGTGATCACTGATACCCATCCTCATAGAGTGACTACGAGGACTAATTGAGAGATATCTTTAGCATAGTACTAATAAACAAATACTGTTATTTAGAGCCTTTATTCACATAAAAGATCAAATTAGTATGTTAAAGTATATTTCAATATTATTTATCAATATATTCTGAAAAAGCAGTTATACATGGGGTCAGAGAGTACAGGAGTTAAATCACTTGCCTTGCACGAGGGCAATCAGGGTTTTTTGTTTGTTTGTTTGTTTGTTTTGGTGTTCAGGGATCACTCCTGGCAAAGCTCAGGCGATAAATGCAGTGCCAGGGAAAGAATCAGGATTGGCTGTGTGCAATGCAAGCACCTTGATCTCAGTACTGTCTCTGACCCTACTTTGAATCCTGGTACTACATGGTCCCTAGAGCACAGAGCTGGGAGTACCCCTGCAAGAACTGCTGGGGTGCAGCCCCAAAAATACAAAACCAAAACCAAAAGGCAGTCACATGAAAGAAGTGGAGAAATAAACAGAAAAAATTAGTGTAAAGAGGAAGTCAACAGAGAGATGAGAGAAGACCTTAAAGGACCCAATACAAACTGGATGAAGACAGAAATTTAACAAATTACTCTGATTCTAGGTCACTGACTTCTAAGAATCTAGATCTACATGTGCCATTCTATGATGTTTTCACTACTCTTCATAAAATGGTAGAAATGAAAATGATACAGCAAGTTC